TTTAGCCTCTATGAATTGTTTACGCGTACTTACCAAAATCTACGAAGAATAAAACAAAATAAGTGATGACAACTATCTCAATTGCACAAAACACTTTCCTTCCTAAACAACACGCGCTATTGTCGAAAGCACCGGGTTTGTAGAACGCTCAATTAAATCGACGATAAAATGGCTATGCACGCTTAAAACTGACTGAATATGACACTGGCACGTCAAGGACAACCCACAATAAGCATTCCTAGCGCTGTAAATCCCTCCCTTTCCTACAAAAGGCCCCACATAAAATTTCCAGACGAACCGGTCATAATGACCGTGGCGCGTGTACTCTCGGGTTAAATTGCGTTGCTGATTCCACCGAATCAATTTAATGAAAGATTCGCGGTACGCATATTCATTACCACTAAATCATGTACCTACATTACAGCGAAATAAAATAATTTCGCCGTCGTTTCAAGGATGGGATGTTCACTTCTTGCATGATATTACTATATTCGCCTTTAACATATGATGTTCCCATTTTTTATTCCAAACATCTCAAAAATTTTTTTTGAATATTTTCAATAGGGTAAGGTGGGGCAAGATGACAAATTTGATTTTGTTGAAAACCAAAAGAAGAAATCTGCAATATATCAGACCCTGTGATGTCTGGTCGGGACCTAGTTATACCTCAAAAAGATAGGTGGCACTTCCTTCCCTACTTTCGAATTTATATTTGAAGTGGTGTTTATTGGCTATTCCTTATAATATTGTTGGGTAGTAAATTTTTTTGCAAAAAGTGAGTTTAAAACTTTTCCTAATTGATGTTTATTTTGCTGTTAGGACCCAATAGCTTAACAATGTAAGTACACGAACTAATTTTATTTATTGTTTGTTTTATATATAACGATTTTGTTATAAATTCTCATTGGGGCAAGTTGACGGGTGCAAGCGAACTCGTCATCTTGCCCCAAGGAGTATTCCTTAACATATCTTCTTTTACAGATGGTGCGTAACTATAAAAGAAAAAGTGAACGCCGGACGTGGTCAGAAGAAAATTTAATTGCTGCCATGTATGCAGTCGAAAATGAAAATATGGCAGTTAATAGAGCCAGCATAGTTTACGAGGTGCCTGAAGCAACACTGCGACGATATGTTAAAAAGGATAGGGAAAACGAAACATCACCGGAAAGCGGCGGCAGATTTAAACATACTTTCACTGAAATCAAATTCGCTCTAACTTTTAACAGACTGTCAAAGTGTATACGAAGATAAAACCTAACAAATAATTCATAAATATAAGGAAATTATACGCACAGCAAGCTTGTACCACAGCAATAAATATGTTACAATTTTCACTGTTGTAGCAACATCTATGCCCAGCGAAAGACTTTTTTTCTAAAGTTGGAGCGACTAAATAACGATTTAGTTTTAGTTAAATATAATAAGCTCAGTTGATCCCGTAAAAATACACCAGGTGGTGTAATTTTCTACGATCATTAAGTAAGTTAAACGTGGTTAGTAGGTGCATAACGAGCTTTTCAATTAGGATTAATTATGTGAAGTAATTGGACACTGGTTGTTAATTAGAAAATACACCTAAATGTGGTGTAACGATAATGAGGTGGGAGGTATACTATATCGCCATATGTAATGGATCTACGCTAATAAATGATGCGAAACGATGGCAGCTTAATGAATTTTGAACGCTAGGTAATACGAATCTAAGGTAAATTACGCGTCTACTACTCATGGGCTAATATTGACTTACACGCCAGACTTGTGTAATTAAAAACTTTAGTTTCTCTAATTACATTTTGAAATGTTGACTGCCTGCTTTTATAAATCGATCAGGGGGTTCTGTTAAAATAATTCGGCCGCTTCAGGCCTACTGTGTCTATACACGCATTGAAAAATTGATGTTAATTATAATAATTTATTTAGTACATGTTTGGCCTAGTGTTTGGCAGACGCTTTACGAATTTGATATTACCCGAACGTTGGTCAACAAGGCACAAGACATATTCCAAAGGGCATGAGATAATTTACAGTCGCTAGCTCGGTAGGGCATATAGATTATTCGTACAGTTCACCGCAACTTAGCACTTAAATTGAGCGCCACCCAGTTTCTTGAAAATTCTTAACCTCATTCGTATGAAGTATTGCAGGAAGACGATAAAATAAAAAAGTTGCAATTTCTCGCAACGAAATATTCCAAGTTCACTTTCGGTTGATGAGTATTGACCGAAATTTAATCACTTGGTCCCTTGACCATTGTCTACCTATTACTCAAAACAGAATTGGAAAATTCGAAACCGTTAGAGAGTTATCATGTACACAGACGGATGGACGGACAGAAAGTTCAAAATCATAAACTCGATTTTTGTCGTTCGTTAATAAACAGGATAAGAGTTTAATAATTATCTCTTTTACAAGAATTCCGAAAAATGTAAAGTTATCCCTAAAGTCGGCACCGATAATGAAGTTACAAGTATCCCACAAAAGTAATAATTTCGCCTTTATTGACCAGCATAGGAAAGCTCTGTTGCTATGACTGCAGCAATTCACCTTAACGCAAAAGAAAGAAACCAAGAGAACAAACCCGAGAAAATCGACTCGATAATTAAAGTGACGCATTCTTGTGATGAATTGAAAATTAACATTACTAATTTACGAGTATACCTTGAGTTCTAAGTAATTTCTAAGCTTGACAAATTTAATAATTTAATTTACAAGGAAGAATATTAAGCAGTTAAATAACAAACAGCGATTTTGTTTTTATGGCATTAAATATTCAATTTGCTGCGAATGGAGGGGCGGTTTTAGTCGTTTTGTGAGAGTTTATAAAAATCAATGCAATCCACATTTGATATCCATTAAGCCGCCTATGAGACCCAGCGGGGCACGTCACATGCCAAATGCTTCTTGCATTCATTTCAACAGGCATCGATTTAACGTAATGTCAAAGCAAAGTTTAGTGCTATAGGTATTTGGTATTGGCAGTCAGTTCCACCCGATTACTTCATTGAAAGCGTTAAAACTTTTCCTATACGCTACCTTGTAAATAGCTCTAATGGAGTTACGAATTTAAAAAATGTCACGAATTATATTCTAAAGGCGAATCTGTCTTGGGGCAAAACGTTTTGTCCACAAAGCTGCAACTATAATCATTCGAAGGCTGTTCTGTAATATAAACGTAAATCATTCTTTCCAATTATATACAAAAAATCTTGATGTAAGTCTGAATTGAAGACATAGCTACAAGCAGCCCACCCCCACCCTTTCTGGAAACAATCCGTCTCAATATTAATACGGTACTTATGTCACGCACAAACTACGTCAATTTTGGTCTGATCACAACCTATCCAATTTATTGTTCAGAAAGAAAACAGTTTTTCTATTGATTTGGATGTAACAGAATATTCCAGAGTCGGAGATTGGAAACTATTTCGGATATCAACTTCAGATTTTCACTAGATTAGTATGCCGTCTAGTTGTGAAAAGTACAACAAAAAAATATTCGCACGGATTGTCGACGTTCATAAAATAATTGAAAGTAATGAAGAAGATTGCGTTAAAAATGCCAACAAATCTTTCTTTATTGTCGTCACGTCTTATAATTAATAATGAATTTTGGAATATTAACTACAACACCTCTTAACATTGGTCTTGCTTTGGTGATCTCTATAATTTCACAAGGAATACCCTGCTCCACGATACGTGTATCGTACGTGCCCTGCTCAAGGTTTCGGTTCACAATAATCGTGCGAGACACGCTGTAACCTCCGAACTCGTTGGCTCCAATCTGTCCGCCTGTCAGCATAGATAAGTTTACTTAATTAGGGTTATGTGATTAAAAAACCAAAATCACGATTAGATCATTCTCTGGCAGTGGAAATGCAGCGGAAGTCAGTTTCGAGTTTTGTTCATTCCGATAACGTTTTGTATTTGGTGAAAGAAATTGTGTTTTTGATGCAGGTAGTTTGCCCGGAGAGAGAGAAGACCTTTCCCTTTCGAAAGTTATATGTTTTGGGCCTCTGGAAGTAGTGACCGTAAATTGGATTACGCAATAAATAAGGAAACACATGTCTTCCCGACGTTAGACAATAAAGAGAAGAAAACCATAGCTAGTTAATACTCAAAAAACTCGCATCACACGCTATTTGGGGGGGGGGGGGGGGCGAACTGACCCAAACGCAGTCCTTAGATTATCCTGCGAAAATGTTATTATATAAGAAGGATACACAATATGCGGACCTTCTCTGTCACTCATCACGCTACAAACTGTATGCAAAATCTCCCAAATACATGTGCATCAAGCTGTTCAACCATCTGCCTCGCGATATACGAAGACGTAACACACATATACACTTTAAATCAGCTGCTCGAGGAATGTTTCTCAACCACCCATACTATATACATGTAGTATCGAAAAAGGGTACGCCCAAGAGGTCATCGGTCTAGTGTAACCTCCTTTTTTTGATACTTACAATTATTCCTGCCACTACGTGCAACCCAAGGTGACAGGGCGATATAATATTTCCCGGACCAGCTCTCTCCCAAAGTTAACAAAGTATGGGGAGTTATTTAATACCTCATGCTTAGCAGATCTGATTGCAAAAGCTACCTTTTGTAATAAAGAGCTCCAATTCTTTTGGTTATCCTCTACAAATGAAGATAGGACCGTCTTCAAAACTTTTTTTACCCTTTCAGTGGGATTAGCTTGTGCATGATAGTAGGGTGTGTAGCGTATGCTAACGTTGTAAGTTGACATTAGTTTTTGGAATTCTTTAGACCTAAATTGTACTCCGTTGTCTACTATAATTGAGGTGGGGACACCGAAAAACAAGATCACATTTTCCTCGATAAGCTTTACAATAGTAGTAGTCGATTACTTTTCCAAGTTTTCCTTTGCGGAAAGCAACAGCTACTCCTTACCTTACTTAAAGACGTAGAAGGTTCATTGGAGAAATTCAGTGGGGACGATTCGATAACTGAATCGATGGATCAGACATTTCGAAGAAATGGCGGAAGTGTGTAGGTGAACCGATATTCACAAAGTCGCGTTCGCGAAGAAGCTACTAACAGGCTCAGCCCTGACGTTCGTGAGGCAAGAAAGGTGTACGAAGACGTGGTTGAAGTCTAAAAACGCCTTGAAAGACGAGTTCGAGCATGTGGTGAGCGATCAACAAATTCACCGCGAGCTGGGGCCAAGGAGGAAGAAATCCGACGAGACCTTGCAGCAATACATGTACAATATGCGCGAGATTGAGGCACAAGGAATAGTAGATACGAAATCTTTGAGTAATTCAGGGTATTCCCGACGGAGTTTGGAACAAGGCTGCGTTATATGGGGCTAGGACCATGCATTGAAAGAGCGGTTCAAGCAGTATGAGGCGATAAGAGATATGAAGACGAAAACAAAAATCGTGGAACGAAAGGATGATAAAGAAAGACGACCGGAAGAAAAGAATAGTCCAAAGCGGAAGCCGACGGATAGTGAAAAGCGGAAGTGTTATACTGCCGTGTTAATCCAAAAGGGCGTATCTGCAATTTTATCAGAAAGTGAGTTAATACGTTTATATGTGTCTTCACACGCAATTCTATCATTCTATTAAGATCGTCAGGCGTATCTACATATACTTTGGATGCAAAACGTGAGTAAAAAAAGGGCGTATCTACAATTGAAGATGTTTTGTTAAACAGAAAAGTCGTATGTGATGTTGTTATGTAGAATGGGCGTATCTACATAATTTTTCGTTAGTTACGCCTTTTTCTCTTAACATAACCCTGCAATTTTACCGCCAATTTATATGCAATGTATTCTAACCTATATTTTTTGTGTTGGGTGTGTGTGTAAGCTACTCCGGGTTTAAATAGTTTCAGTGTGGTAGCTCTTGTGAATTATGGAAAATAGAGGTAAGAAGCTAGTCAGCCTTGCATTAAATAAGGAACTTGCTAATAAAATTAGTGACTTTAAACGTAACAAAGCGCGATTTAAAGATGCAGAAGTTTGTGACCCAGATTATATACCGGATGTTGAATGTTATTCAGTAAAAGAACAAAGTAACAGTGAAACAATTAGTAACGCAGCAAGTACTGCTGGGTTAAAAAGTGGTACGGGAGTATCAGTATCGTTAGCACCAAAAGTAAACAAAATAAACGTTTTAAGTCATGTAATCATCAACCCATCCATTCATCAGTTTCCAATTTATGCTGGCAATGTTAATGAAGTTCCTACAGTTAATGAAGGACTTGTTAATAGTGATAGTCAATTCATTTCCTCCTTGTTAGATGAAATGTTG